GAAAAGTATGCATATTAATAAACATGTTAACACATCACTATCATGACCTCAAATATATTATATTTATATTCAAAAGAAATGATTAATTATACAATTCAAAACAAATATAATTAATTTAAATTTTTAAGTATACAGTACTGGATCTTACAACATTTATTACAGAATTGTGCACTTGATTAGTATAATTCAATGTTAAGCAGAATACTATGTACTAAATACAAATTTAGTATACACTCACTTCTATTTAGCTTAAAAAATAAATTATCTTTATCATCTTTATAAATTGTTATAATGTATATTATTCAACATGTTTAGTAATTTGTAATACAGTATAATCTAAAGTATCATATTAAATGTAATAGGCATTAGAAATGAAGCCTTGAATTTTCTTGCTAGATATTTTAATTTTACAGCATTACGAGCTATCAGCAATCATTTTATATATACCGCAATTTTCTCCCGACTGTACAGTTAGAGATCTGAAAGAGGGGGATCTTACAAAACATTTTATTTGTAAATACTTTTGACTCCTATAAACTTTATAAATCTGAAAACAAACACTTTGTTTTATATAATATGAAGTTGTTTATATCAAAATATATTGATATCTTACAATATTTTTGGTTTATATTTACATTTTAATACAGAGCTTCATTTATAGTAGAGATTTATAAACTTTTTTCATATAATTTGTGGTATATTTCTTGGTGTACAAGTTTGTACCACTTAATAATGGACCAGACATACAATGTAGGTTCAATAAGGTTATAATGGAGCTGAAAACTTCATAGCTGCCTGTATTTTATCTATGTTTAGTTATGTATTTAGACACATAACTATATTTTTCATTCGGTTATGTATAGCTTATGTGAGTAGTAGACTATTCCCTATAAGGTTTGTCTAAGTACTCTATGATGTTTACTTATCCATGCTGTTAAGTGGCACATAACTTATCTATATAAATAAAATTATTTATGAAAACATACCAAGAGTTATACTAAGAAAATTTACTTACAGCTGTAGGTGTGTTCAGGGAGAGAAGAACCCATTTGCCTGTCCTTAAAAATTTTAAATAAATGCATAAATTTATGCATAAAAATAAGTATAAATGCACAAATCCATTCACAATGCTATCTGTATAATGGTAGCTGGATATGTGACTGAATATGCTCAAGTACATTTATTGCATTAATATAAAAATATATTAAAAATTAGAATCAGAAGACCTTAGCTTTACAAATTTCTGCATGAATAATAATATGTTTTGCTTGTAAATTTTTATATATTACAATTTTAATTTATTTCTCAACTGTTATGTAAATTTTGAAGTCATTTGTTTAATTTCCATTGTATGAATGAAATATCCATAGAATGACATATAAAATTTATGGACTATTCATTTAATTATGTACTTTTTACTTTATTTATTTTGTAATACACTTAATTTCTTTTTGAAATTCAAATTTTAAAGCAATTTCCAAGAAAAATATTTATTTAGATGATTAAATTACATTTTATTGGCTTTTTATATGTAGATTATTTAATACAATGGACATCCAACCAAAAGATATACAAGTTTTAGAATCAGTGCAAGATATTCAAGAGAGACGAGAGCAGGTTTTGGGAAGATATGCTCAGTTTAAAGTGGATGCACGAACGAAGCGAGACAAACTCGAAGATTCCAGACGACTACAATACTTCAGAAGAGATGCAGATGAATTAGAATCTTGGATAAATGAGAAATTACAAACTGCTGCAGATGAAAATTATAAAGATCCAACAAATCTTCAGGTAATACTTTATGTAATGCAACATCCAAAAGATAAATTTATTATAATTCAGATGTATAGTTTTTCGAGAGGGAAAAAAGAACAAATCTGATTACAGGTGAATTTCAGAGCTAGGATGGGTATTTTTATTTATATTTTCAACATCATTTATCATTTTAATCATTTACAAGCCTATATAAATATTTATATATATAAAATTGGTAAAATTATAAGTTAAAACTGTCAAAAAACTAATTTAATATAATAAAATTGGGTAAAATTTCAGCTCTGAATGAGGTGGTTGGGACCTTATCAGAGTTATAGACCATTATAATAAGAGTAAAACTATATGTGACCCTTCATGAGATCTGTTTCTTGAAATCTGTCTCTCTGAAATATTGAAAACCCTAAAAAATGTGATAGAATTTAAAAGTGAAAAAATCTAGAAGTATTTCTCAAAACAATGCTAAAAGTCAACTGTTTTCCCTTTTACTAGAGATGGCTAAAAGTTCATAAAAAATGAGAGATGCCATTGCAAGTACTTCTGGAGCATGATTGGAGTAATGCTGTATGGCTAATGCTGTAATGCTAATTGTTTTGTTGAGCCTATCACATGTTTAACAAGAAGCCCAGTTAGTGGGCTATATCTTGTGAAGGGTTACATGTAGATCATTTGTTCTTTTTGATTTTTTTATTCTTATGGGTATGATCTATAACTCTGATAAGATCTCAACTGCTTCCTTCAAAGCTGCAATTTTATCTAAAGGCGAACTAGTCACTGTAGTTAATTAATCTAATATAGCAAACAATACATCTTTAACAGTGGATCATAGTCTGTCTCCTGTTGTTTGTTAACTCTACCTATCTGTCCTATCCCACACTAGCCTCTTGTCTTTTTATGCCTGAAGAACTTCTTGTAACATGGCTTCTTTCATAATGTATAATTTAATCTGTCAGATGTTTATAATATTGGGATAAATGAATGACTCTTTGAAGTAAGGAAGCAGAATGCTTTATATATAAGCTTGGAAATAAATTCTGTTTATAGAACATTTTGAAACAGAATAGAATTTTAAACAATAATTCTANAAATATAAGTTAATTTAATTACGTTTTGATTAGTTTTAATGAGAATAATAATTATTATTATTACTGAAAGGAAGAATGGAGAAAATAACAGAAACATTTTGTTAATTTAAAAGGAATAACTTTCATTTTTCTTCGTACGAAAAAAAGAAAAAAAAATTCTTCTAATATTGAGTTTTGAAGTAATAAAATTGAATTTCATTTTGTTTTCAAGAATTGGAGCATGATAAGCGGAAAAAGAGAATAAGATAAAGTAAAGATAAATGAATGTCACTTTAATAACAAATAACAAAAGAAATATGCCAATTAACGATGACAAGATTTTAATAACAAGCTAACCTATAAGATTATCGACGCAGAAACATGCAAAAAATAGAAAGAAAATTTCCATACAAGGAACTTAAAAAAGTCAACCGGAAAGTATATCACAACCAATTTTTAATTATCTTCAGTTATAAATTTAATTAATTAAGAAGCTACAAATCATTTAAAAGTGTACATTATGTCATCTCATCAAATGAACGATCCCCGTAGTGTATTAATAGAGACACTGTAGTAGGTCAATTCCTAAATACAAAATGGATACCGAAATGACATCACCCACGTGAGTGCAGAAAATAGAAACATTCCTATTCTTGGCAACATCCCAGAGAGGTATTCAGCTACACTTTTCCCCTCTTCTCTCCGCTCGTATTTTGACAATAATCAAGTTTTGGTGAGTTTAATATTTACTTTTGATATCGTTAAAGTGTACTAAAGTAATATTATCTTACATACTAGTGTTTAAAGTAGTTGTAATGCCAAATTTCTGGCGAGGTATTAAAGTTTTACCGAAGATAACACGGGATGAAGCGACGTCGAAATGAATTTCTACGGGCGTGGCAGAGATTTACTGATTTAATTTATTATTTTATTCGAGTGTTTTACTTATAATTTCAACTTTTAAACTATCGGCAATAATTTTATAACAGAAATCATTATAATAACTTTATACTTATACACCTTTAGACACGTTAACGGTTATGGGATTTAAT